TGAGAGGACCTCAGTCTTGGGCCCAGCTTCCCCAGGACCTGCCCAGGGTTCTGGAAGGCTCTCTTGAGTTTAGCACAGTGGCTGAGTAACTAATTGAATGTGAGTGACTGATGGACATTTTAACTTGGTGAAGCCTGGGAGCCGAGGCTGCGCCCTACTGGGGTGGGAGGCCAGCAGGAATGGGGAGTGGGTGATCTTTGAAGGGGACGCTGATTAGTAGGAAGGGTAGCCTCACTCCAGCCTGGAAGGGACAGTTCCAGGGGAACCTCCCAGTCAGAGATGTGGGTGGGGGGGGGTCCCTCTCCTCCTCTTCCTGTTCATAAGAACTTGAGGCCACGCAATGCTTAGAGAAGGCTGCCCCCCACCTCCCAGGGGACACCCCCACTAGCAAGCACTAATTATCCTTTTCCCTTAATTGGCCCTCTCCTCCCAAGGGCAGCTCAGTTAACTACACACCCTGCCTGGGCCTGGGAAGTGGAAACCACTGAACTTGAAGCCCTGCTAAGCTGTGGGTGGCCAGGGGCATGCTGACGGGAGGGGGCCCTGGGCTCCTCCCAGGAGCCTGAATAATGGGCTGAAGCAGCTGCACAGGGCCCCAGGGCTACTTGCTTCCCAGGCTGGAGCCTGTCACCAGGAGGCAGCGCTGGGGACTCAGCTCTTTCTGGCTGGTTTGGGCTTCTGTGCACTGCTGGGAGTTGGCAGCAGTGCATGAAGACGCCCTGGGGATGCTGCCCTGTTCTGCTATTCACACTCCTTCTGCAAACAGCTCTGCAGAGACCTCACTGTGCTGGGCTGGGCCTGAGCCCAACAAGGGAAAGAGCAGGCTTCAGCCCTGGAGGGGCTTGTGGCCTCCCAGGGAAAGCAGCCAGCCAGACCCGCTGCACCGGGGCCCAAGGGCCAAGGCAGCCCTGTGGACAAAGTGCCCTGGGAGGACAGGGGAGGGAAGGAATAACTCAGGCACCAAGAGGATGATGCTTGGAGAAGGCATCAGGGTGGAGGGAGGGCGGAGGAACAGCCAGGAGAGGCAGGGGGTTGGGAGAGTGTGGGGGGTGGGAGGAAGGCCAGGAGAAAGGGACCAGGAGGGCAGCAGGGCCACTGCTAGGTCCCCTTCAGGGCTCCACATAGGGTCAGCTCTCAGCTCCAACTTGCCATTCTGTCTGCCTCCAGTTCCCTCTCTGGCCATTAAACTGTCCCAAGAAATTTCAGTACCAGGCTCTGGACACCAGGTGGCACTGAGTGAATGACAAGATGCTGAGAGCCACAGCCGAGTCGGAATGGCCCCTGGCATTTTGCCAATAGTATTGGTTGACAGGCGAGGCATTACTATCCGCCTCAGCCGCTACTTTGGAGTTCTCGTGGGGATTCCCGGGGATTCCCGGAGAGTTCCCATTGGTTGGGGAAGTGCAGGAGGAGGGATTTCCGGAGGAGATATTTCGGGTGGCTGGTTCCTGGACGAGCCGCATGCGGGAGAATTCCCCGGGAGCGTGTGTGAAGTGTTTTGGTGGAGTTCAAAAATAAAGTTTGTTCCTGCTTCAGTGGCTCATGGTTTGTGCCCAGCCAGACTGCGGCATTTGGTGGCTGGGCACAAACCACGAGAAAGGGACCAGGAGGGCAGCAGGGCCACTGTCAGGTCCCCTTCAGGGCTCCACATAAGGGTCAGCTCTCAGCTCCAACTTGCCATTCTTTCTGCCCCCAGGTCCCACTCTGGCCATTAAACTGTCCCAAGAAACTTCAGTACCAGGCTCTGGGCACCAGGTGGCACTGAGTGAATGACAAGCCTCACTGGGGACACAGCATCCTGTTGTGTCCTAAAAGCTGGGGACAGCTAGCTGGCTGCAAGGGAACTGAAGGGGCGTCCCCAGTGTGATGTAGCTTAGACTCATCCATGACAGGCAGTTGGCGGAGGATTTCAGAGGGAAGGGCTTTTTCCTGTAAGGACAGGTTCTGTTTGGGGTAGGGAAGTGGAGTTGTCCTGTTTTTCCCTCCCACGCACTGGACATGGGGTCCCTCGGGCCTTTCTCCAACCTGCAAGCATGGGTCTCTTCCCTCGTTCAGGTGATTCCGTATGTCACAACCATTTTTGGTGGCCTGCACGCAGGCAAGATGGTCATGCTGCAGGGAGTGGTCCCTCTACGTGCCCACAGGTAAGGGGGGGACCAGGGGAGCTGGAGCCCAGCTTCAGCAGCGTCGAGCTGGGGGCTCCTGTCTGCCTTTGGGATCTCTGTGGGTCTCTGACCAGACAGCACTTTGAGAGCCGCCCCTCCCCCTCAGGTTTCAGGTGGACTTCCAGTGTGGCTGCAGCCTGTACCCCCAGCCAGACATCGCCATCCACTTCAACCCTCGCTTCCACACCACCAAGCCCCATGTCATCTGCAACACCCTGCACAGTGGACGCTGGCAAAGGGAGGCCCGCTGGCCTGGCGTGGCCCTGCAGAGAGGGGCCAGCTTCCTCATCCTCTTTCTCTTCGGGAATGAGGAGGTGAAGGTGAATGGAAGGGACAGGAGTCGAGGGTCCTGAGCTCGTTTCCTTGCACCCATCCTTCCCTCAGCCAGTTCCCCTGTCACCGTGATGGGTGGCATTGAAGGAGAGGACCAAGGAGCTGCCACACCTGGTTCCAGGCTCCCTGCACCCACAGGCTGCTGGACATCCATGGAGCCTGGGTGTGGAGAGGCCCCCTCTGCCACATCAAAGCCAGCTGACTCCTAGGCCTTTCCTTCAAGGGGAGGGGCAGGGGGTGCTGGGGCTGAACCCAGGGCCCGTGCGTACTGAGCGGGCGCTCTGCCCTGGGCTACACCCTGCCCCTCTAAGCCCACTGATGTCTTCACTCATGGAATCCACCCCCATCTTACAGCAGCTGCACAGGACAGGGAGAGGGGACTTGTCCACTAGACTTTGGCCTCTGAGACGGATGCCTGCCAGAAAGATGAGAGGGTCTTCAGACAGCTTAGGCGGGAAGGGCGAGAGGGACTGAGGATAGGACAGCACCGGCCTCTTCAGCCTTGGTGTCCTCCCTGTCAGTGGGGACAGCAATGATGCTCTCTGCCTGCTGAGAGGAGAGGGGCTTCTTCGGAGACAGGGACGGGCACTGATGGGGCCAGCTCTGCCGTCTACCAGCTTTGTGACCTTGGAAGCTCTCTTAAACTCATCTGTAAGTGTCCTTACGCTGCAGAGCTGGTGTGAAGCCACAGAGGGAGTCTCCAGGTAGAGGTGCCTGCAGAGCTTGGGACACAGTTATGAGCCCAGCCTAGCTCAGCTGCTGCTGAGCCTGGTGCTGTCTGCCTCTCCAGGTGAGTGTAAACGGAAGGCACTTTCTCCACTACCGCTACCGGCTCCCACTGTCTCGGGTGGACACCCTGGGCATATTTGGTGACATCTTGGTGAAGGCCGTTGGGTTCCTGAATATTAGTGTAAGTTCCCTGGGGGCCAAGGCCCGGGGTCTTGGTCTCTGCCTTCCTCTGACTCCTGGGCAGACCTGGGACCCTCTCACTTACCCCAGAGCAGCAGACAGAGGAGGCCTGTAGGTCAGAAATAGCCCAGGGGGAGGGGACCCATAGAGGTGTCCTATGTGAGGGAGGTGCATGAGAAGGTGACAGTAGAAAGGGAGGCCAGGAGCTGGTGGCACGAGTCCATGCTGGCTGTGGGGTCTGGTTTATACTAGGAGCTAAGGACAGAAGGAAAGAACCGGCATGTGGGGCCCAAACAGGCTGAGCTCGCCTGCTCTGTCATTCTCTCCCGATGGATTTATTAAAAACGCAGATCTTTGTGACCTGTCACCAGAGAGTCTCATTGAGGAAGTCTTTGGTGGCCTAGAATTGATAGGTTCAACACACCAGATTCAGGAGCCACTGAGGAGCTGTGTGGGAAGCAGGGCAGGGCAGGTGGGGGCCAGATGAGTGGCTCCTGGGCTTGTGGTGGCCTTAAGAATTGTTTTCCTCTCTTTCTGGACAGCCATTTGTGGAGGGCAGCAGAGAGTATCCCACTGGATACGTGAGTCTCTGGGGGCAAGGTTGGCCTTGTGGTTGGACAAGACTCATGGGGTCAGCCTCCTCCTCCCCCTGCATGACCTGCAGCTACACTGAGCCTAGCTGGCCCCCCTCCTGCTGTGGTTGTCATGGATAGGACTGGCTCCTGTCAGCCCAAGGACAGCATGGATGTGGCTCTCCCAACCCTTCTCCAGGGCCAGCTTAGGGAGGGGGGGGGATGGGCGGCTGGCAGGAGGGGCCAGGATCCATAATTCCCACTGGGAGATGACTTTTGCTTGGAGCTTTCAATCCTCAGAGTGACCCTGAGAGGTGGCTGGGTTGGCCTTGTGTGACAGAAGTTGGTCAAGGTGTGGGATGACTGACCCACTGGCCAGTTCTCCCCCATTTCCCCAGAGCTGGTGGGCCTCCGGACGCAGGAGGATCCCACTGGGGCTCCAGTCGCTCACCTGCTGCTCTGAGAGACACAACCCCAAAGCAACCCCAGTGTGGAAGGATAATGGCAAGAGGGTCCCTCCCAGCCCATGACCAAGGGCTTCCTTGTGCCCCTTTCTTTCCTGACAGCCCTTCCTGCTGCAGAGTCCCAGGCTGGTGAGTGAAGCTCCTTCCTTGTGTCCCCTGGAGGTGTGGCCTCTTCTGGGCTCCCTCAGGCCTGGGAAGACACCTGGATAGGAGGCCGAGGAGCTCCCTGTGGTGGGAAATGCCCTTGGTCTCAGGATTTCCCTTGCTTTATGGGAACCTGCAGGCTGTGGGTGGGCCAGGCAGCTGCAGCTGAAACTCCACCTTCATTTGACCTTTTCTCCATTTATTCTGCAAAAAGATATTTGATGTCCTGTGTGCCAGGCCAGTGCCAGGCTCTACGACAGAGGGACAAGCTGGTCCTAGCCCTCCATGCAGCCACTGCTGCTCAGGACACAGCCATGGGAGAAGCACATGGTGCTCAGACACTGGAGCACTGAGCTCAGCCTGGGGGCAGGGGACACTCTCAGCAGGCCAGCAGCAGAGGTTTAGTAATAAAGAGAGCTGCACTTCCTGCTGCAAGCCCATGGCAGAAACTCGCCTGTCCCCGTGCGCTTCCTTGGCCCCTGACAGTAGCCCTCACAGGTGTTCCTAGAGGCAGGAGACCCTTCCAGAGCCTTCACAGCCATCCCCTTGTTCCTTCAGCAGGTGCCCTGCTCACGTGCTCTTCCTCAGGGCCTCTGGCCGGGGCAGGTCATCATAGTTTGGGGACTGGTCTTGCAAGAGCCAAAGGAGTAAGTATCCAATCAAACATCACCTCCTTTAACCTCCCAGCACTGCCATGTCACCCCTTCTTACAGATGGGAAGGCGGAGGAGCAGCAGGTAAGGTGCCCAAGGTCACAGAGCTTACGAAGGTCAGGCTGGGACCAGGAGCCCCACTTGCAGTAGCATCTTCCCTCCTGGTGCCTCTGGTCAAGCCTCCAGCCCTGCATCTGGATCCCAGGGGAGACACAGACAGAGACCCAGAGAGAGGAGGTGGCCTCCCAGAGTGACACATGCTTGGTTTAGGAAAGAGCCAAAACACCCCAGAGAGGAGGGCTAGCTAGTACTTGGAAGCCAGGACTGGGAGGGAGACCATTACTTGCGCTTCCTTGCTTGTCATCCAGGGGGCGATCAAGTCCTGACAGTCTGCTCAAATCTAAATAGACAAGGGCCTGCCAGCCTACCTGGAAGAAAGGTATTGGATGTTATAGCTTTGGGAAACCAGACTGCCAGCACTCTTACTACCTGTGCAAACTTAGGGCAGTGACTTTTCCTCTCCATGCCTCAGTTTCCTTATTATTTAATTTAATTTTTTTTTTAGTTTAGTTGGACACAATATATTTATTTTATTTATTTATTTTTATGTGGTGCTCAGGATCGAACTCAGGGCCTTGCTCATGCTAGGCAAGTGCTCTACCGCTGAACCACAACCCCAGACCCAGTTTCCTTATTTTTAAAGGGGGTAATAATAACACTGACTTCAGATTGGTTCTGAAAACAAACAGGGGGGGGGGTTAGTTATTGATCAATCTTTATTTATTTATACATGGTACTGAGAATCAAACCCAGTGCCTCACACATGCCAGACAAGTGTGCTACTGCTGAGCCATAGTCCCAGCCCTTAGTTTGGTTCTTAAAATAGTACCTGACCCATGGTAAGTGCTCCACAGTGTGGGTGGTCTCACAATTATCTTTGGGGAGCAGGGGAGGGGAATGGGGGCAGCATCCTCTCCACTCTCGGCTTCATTTTCATTTATTTTTAACTTGCTGATGGTGCTACACCCTGCCCTGAGTGCTCCTGGTCACACCTACGAAGCTGGCATGAAGCACATCATGGGTAGCAGGGCCTTGCAGAGCCAGGAGTGACTCTTGTAAACTGTGTGTGCTTGGGAATGTCACTGCACCTCTGAGATTCCCTATCAGATAAAGGAGAATGTTAATGTCAAGGTGATGGAAAATGATAAGGTGCTCCAAGATCAGGACCACACCTCCCTCCCCAGACCTTGGAGCATGTGGCCAGGTTCATATCCTTCTCCAGATCATGTCATTGTTATTAGTGACACAGCAAATAACCTGAATGCCATTTCCCAATGGCCGTGAATGCACATGTCCTCAGAGGTCAGACTGGCCACATGAGTAGGGAGGACCAGAGTGGGAAGGGTGTGAAGTGGGAAGAATATTTCCACGGGCCCAGTCACGCCAGATCCTCTGGTGAGTTCTGAAGAGAAGTTGAAAACCCTCTTTTACATAAAGTCTATTTTTCAATATGGAGTGAATTTGAAATTGGAGAGTACTGTGCCCCACAGAACCTTCCTCCAGGCCCTCCAGCTGCGCCCCTGGGCATCCTTCAGCACCTTGCCTCCAGGCTCCTTCCCAACACTAAGCCCTTGCCTTCTCCTCTCCAAAGCTGGAAACACGTGCGGCCTTTTCCTGGTGGGGATCCATGGAAATCCCAGAGGCCCTCCCCAGGAGGCTTCTAGGACTGCCCCCCACCCCCCTGCATCCCTCTCTCTTGCTCTCAACTGCATCTGCTGGGATCTAGCCCACAGCAGCTACAGGGCTGGTGTTTCAAAGAGGGTCCCTTCAGAAGTCATGGAACAGAGTCTGGGGGTGCTATTGAGAAGATGTCAGGCACAGAAAGACCAGCCCCCCAAAATCTGGAGTCATGAATCCTGGTCCATGTCCCAGTCTGAGGCTGCACCGTTGTTCATAGTAAAGCAGCCAGTCCCTTCGCTTGCTGTCCTCACCACTGAAGTGGGCTCTCAGCACAGGGCGTTTGTGAGGATTAAGGCAAAGGCAAACCCTGGCTCCTGTAAGACCCCTACTGTGCTCCAGGGACTTGCTAGTCTTCAGGTACATTACCTTCTGGGTTCCTACTTGTTTTCTTTGTGTGTGTATGTGTGTGTGTGTGTGTGTGTGTGTGTGTGTCCTTCAGAGGTAAATTTTGTATTATGTAATAATAGTTTCAAATGAAAGGTATCATTTCAGTACTATGTGCCAGGCACTGTTCTAAGTAACACTTTACATGTATTAACTCATTTAATTCTAACAACAACCCCAGAAAACAGACACAGCACTGTTACTGCTGCAGTATGGCTGGGCACAAAATCACGAGCCACTCAAGCAGGAACAAACTTTATTTTTTGAAACTGCCGCCAATGTCCAGTAGGCGCCTGGGAAGATTTTTCGATCCACCCATGCGGCCTCCTCCCTGAAACAGCAGAGAGAGCTCCTCCCCCGGAACTCCCTCCTACTGTACTTCCCCAACCAATGGGAACTCTCCAGGAGTCCCGTAGCAGGCCTAGGTGAACAGCAGGTGTCCAATATCCATATGAATGCAAATCTTAACATAATCATATCATCTCAATGGCTAGCTGGCGTCACCTTTCAACCAAAAATGCCATGCATCATATACTTGGCTCTTAGCATGTTACCATCCCTAAATTTCCGTAAGCCAGCACAGAGTCATTAAGTGACATGCTCTCGATCACAGGACTAGAAAGCAGCAGGGTTAAGGTGGAACTGCCCCAGCCTGGCTCTAACCACTAGGCAGCTTGCAAATATTGAAGACAACACTTGACACAGAATTAAACACACAGTAAAGGTTAGCTACTATTGTTATCATCATGATCACCCATTTTCAGGAGATGGAATTGAGGCTTAGGCCAGGAAACTCCCCTGGCCTCCAGTCAGTAGACAGCAACCCGGGGATCCAAACTCAGGTCTAAGCCTCCTGTTCTCTCCACTTCTCTAAGCTGTGGTGGGTCCCAGGATCCAGCCCTGAGCCTGTCGGAGGAGCCCAGCCCTGGATTCTGAAGCATCTTCCCACAGCCCTGCTGCTCCCTCAGGGTGTGCCGTGGCCTGAGGGCAATGGAGGCCAATCCCCTTCTCTGGCCTGTTCATGCAGGTTCACTGTGAGCCTGAGGGATGAGGCCTCCCGCACTCCTGTGATGCTCAGGGAGTCCTTCACAGACAGAATGCTGGCCTGGGTCTCACCCTGGGGATGCAAGAAGCTCATCTCAGCCCCCTTCCCTTTTTACCCCCAGCGGTTCTTCGAGGTGGGTCTGATCCAAAGTGGTCGGAGACTGGGGCACGTCCTGGCAGGGTAGATGTCATGGGGCCAGGAAGCCAGGCTGGCCCAGCAGAGGGTACATCTAGGCATTGGCCCTCAGCCCTCCACGCTGATGCCGAGGTTCCTGTGCCCAGAAACTCTGGCATAATGAATGCAGGTGGGGCCCAGCTTCCTTTTGTTCAAAAGCTCCCCTAATGATTCCAACATGTGGCCAGAGTGGAAAACCGCTTCATGAAGCAAGCCCAGTTGTAGAAGGCCAACTAGGCCCAGGGTCAGTTAAGAGCTCTGTGGAAGGCCACAGTGCACTGGTGACAATCTAGGCCTTCCTCTAAGGGAAGAGGGTCTTGATGGGCAGCACGGCAGGCAGGAAGGGAGGGTCTGCCTGGAGTCCCACACCCACTCAGGCCCTCCTCACCAGGTGCTGCTCCTGTGCCAGGAGGGAGGGCTGAAGCTGGCACTCAATGGACAGCCGCTGGGGTCCACCAGCCTGGACCAGCAGACCCTGGAGAGGCTGCGGGAGGTCCGCATCAGTGGAAGCATCCAGCTCTACTGTGTCCATTACTAAGGAGGATTCCAAAGGGACCCCGGCCAGAGAGAGGATGGCCAGTCCACTCCCAGGGCCTGTGGTGGGGCCCCACTCTGCTGCCTTCATTAAACTGTCCTCCTGTCACCATCGTGTCAGGCCTGGCTCACTTCCGGGTCACAAGCCTAACTCTGCAGGGGAGCTGGGCCTACAGCAGAGGAGGCACTGGGTGTAAAGGTGGCCTCAACTCTGCTCCTTACACCAGGGGCCAGGATTGGGCTCCATCTTCCTTCAGGGCCTAGAGTCCACTCAGGTGGACAGGTTCTGTGGCCTAACACGAGGACTAAAACACACACTTTAAAGAATTCAGACATTGTTTTCACTCTTATCTAGAGGTTTTGGGGAAGTGACCCCTCCTCCCCTGGAAGTTCCAGGCCTTGTCTTCGACATCACTCTGCCATGCCCAGGGCACAGGCATTGGTCTGTGGTTGGAGCTCTGCTGCTGCCCTGTCTAGGTTTCAGCCACTGCGAAGCCAAGGAGAGACAAGACACCCTGATTTCATAAGCCCAGGCCCAGGATTGACGCACACCATCTACTCTCCCACTGCATGGGCTCACAGAGCCTTCATCCACAGTGACACGCGGCACAGCGGCTCATGATTTTGGCCAAAGTAAGTCACAGGGCCACACTTCAGAGAAGCACACTAACAACCAGCCCAGAAAGGGAGAGAACCCCATGTCTGCCAGTTAGCCACAAGGTGCCATAGCTCCTGAGTACAGTCACGTGCCGCAGGAGCACATGTCAGTCACCTGGGTGCACAATCCACGGAGGTCCCACGAGATTGTCTCCCAGGCTGTGCACGTTGTGCTGGACCATCTGGGTTTGTGGAGGACACTCTGTGGTGTTCCCACGATGACAGAATTGCAAACCATGCATTTCTCGGAGCTTGTCCTCATCATTGAGTGACACGTGACTGTATTTAGCAGATTAAATAGAACAGGGGAAAAAAGGAAGGATATAGAGAATTTGAGTCATATAATCAAACAGCTGAGGTGAATACGTACTTTTAAGACTTGGTACCCTACACACAGAGAGCAATGCTCTCAATATCCTGCCCTGTATCCACTTTCCAAGGCTGACCAGGAAAAATCTTAGTACATTCCCCAGAGCAGAGGTTCCATAGCAAATATGCCCTGATTATAGTCCTGTAAAACTTGAAATCAATGAGAAAGATAACTGACAAGTGGCCACCTAGAAACTGAGGCACAGGCTTCTGGATAAGGTCCAGGTCAAAGTTGAGAAGATAAAGGGGTGGAAGAGCCAGGGGCAGGCAGATCCCCAGGCCCAAGCAAAGCAGGGAGCGGCAGCTCAGCCCCGCCCAGCCTGCTGAGCTGGGCGCAGAGCCTGTCCTTGGTCCTCATCCCCTTAAAGTAAGCCTTACAACACCATAGGCCTTCCAGATGTTCTCAGCTGTTTTTGACCTTTTAATTCTCCACCAGAATTTTTGGAGTAAACTTGTCAATTTCCACTAAGTTTTTCTTTGATTGGTTTGGTTTTTCTTTTTGGTTAGAATTGAATTGATTGTGTGGACTTTGGGGACGAGGGGACTCTGCATCTCTACATTGGTTCCTTTCAATCATAAACACAGTGTCTCTCCCAATATATTGAGCTCATCTTTATATCTTTCAATTAGGTTTTATTTATTTTTTATAAATAATAGTCATTATATTTATGTTCAGGCCCTTTATAGTTTTTTATTAGTACATTATAGTTATTCATAATCTCGGGGCTCATTCTGACACGATCATAGAAACACGGAACACAATTTGCTCTACTCCACCCCCAGGGCTTCCCCTTTCCCTCCTCCCCTCCCTTCCTCTGTTCCCTTTCCTCCACTCAACTTCCTTCTATATATTTATAGATTTTTTTTTCTTTTTAAAATTTGTACTTGGTTGATACTGATACAAAAATGTACCTAATTTATGCATAATTGTCTTATTTCTAGTAAAGTTGCTGGATTATTTTAGTACTTCAAAAAGACAACCATAGGGCTGGGGATGTGGCTCAAGTGGTAGCGCGCTCGCCTGGCATGCGTGCGGCCAGGGTTCGACCCTCAGCACCACATACAAACAAAAGATGTTGTGTCTGCCAAAAACTAAAAAATAAAGAAAGAAAGAAAGAATAAAAAGACAACCATAACACTTGCAAAAAAATTGATTTGTGATTTCTTCCTTTTAATCATATCTCACACACCCACAGTCTCCTCCTCCCTTCTCCTTCCTCCTCCTCTCCTAAATGTACTACATTGGCCAGAACTCCCCGACCAATGTTGAATAGAAGGCCTGTTAACCAGTATCCTTGATCTGTTCCTGACTTTAGGGAAATATTACTAATATTTCACCATTTAATATGGTGATCATGATAGGTCGGGGATAGAAACAAGTTTTAGGGCAAAACTTTTTGGCTTTTTCTTAGTTCACTAGCAGATTTTTTTTTCCCCATTTTTTTAAAAAAATCAAGAATGAGTGTCAAGTTTTATTGGATATCTCCAGCATTTGTTGATATGATCATGTGTGGTTTTTCTTCCTTAATCTGTTAATGATATGAATCATGGTAAGAGGATCAAAGACCTAGATGGAAGACCAGAAGCTTCGTGACTGCTAGAGGAAAACACAGGAGAAACGCTCTACAACTACAGGTGCGGGCAAGCACTTCCTGAATAGGACTCCTCTAGGTCCGGAAATAACACCATCAGGCATCACCGGATGCATCAAATTAAACAGCTTCTGCACAACAGAGGAAGCGATGGGGGTGGGATGGGAGCAAGACTCCGCCAGCTGCTCCTCTCACCAAGGATTGCTATCCAGAGAATATAATGAACTCCAAAGACTCAAAAAAGAAAAAAATGATAGTAACCAGTTCAATACACAGGCAGATGAAGTGAACAGACATTTCCATAAAGAAATCCAAAAGGCCAATAATTCCATGAAAAAAAGTCCACCAATTGTAGCCATCAGGGCAATGGAAAGGAAGACCACAGTGAGATTCCATGAGAATGGCAATCAGTCATCAAGAACTCAAACAGTAATAAATGCTGGTGAGGATGTGGGGAAAAAGGAACACTTACACACTGTCAGTGCACCTGTTGGAGAATATTTGGTTTGTTTTCCTTTTGGGGCAATTATGGGTAGAGCTGCTGTCAACATTTGTGGATGACTTTATGTGAAGAAGTTTTCAGTTGTCTATAGTAGACACCTAGTTAGGGTGCGTGGGCTCTCTCTTATCCAGTGAGGTGGTCCACGGAACAGGGTAGAGGTGAGTGTGGCTGCAGAGTCACTATTCAAGACCTCTGGAGACCAAGCAGGAAGCAGGTCTGATTTTACTGTGTAGTTACCATGTGTATATACTCGGGCAGTAGCTAAGCAGATTTCAGGCAGCCACCAATGCAATTTATGGCCAACTGTCCTTGCAGCGACAAATCGAGGAGCGGGCTGTGGAGCAAGCACAGGGACTACAACACGTGGCCTCATGCCCAGGGCTGTGCCTATGGGGTAAGTGGTCTGCCACTCACACACCTAGCAAGAGGGGAGTGGTTTGCCACTCAGACACCCTTAATGTATGCCATGTATGCAGTACTCCATGCGCTTGTCCCCACCTTAGGGAATCACTGGTCATGTGGTAAATGTACATTTAACTTTATAGTTTAAAAAAACCTACCAAGCTCTTGTCCAGAGTTGTTCCAGTGTGACTGTCGGATTGTGCATTCCCATCAACAATGTCTGCCATTTCCATTTGTTCCACGTCCTCTCCTGCACTTGATATTGCCAATATTTTTTATTTTAGCCATTGATTATGTCTATAAGGGTATCTCACTGCAGTTTAAACTTGTATTTCCCTATGGTTAAAAATGTTGAGCATCTTTTCTTGTGTTAATCTGCCATCCATTATTCTCTGAGGAGAATTCAATTCTTTCCTCATATTTTAAAATTGAATTGCTCAAAGATCTAAAGAAACATTCTTCAAAAGAAGAAATGCAAATGATTGGCAACATATTAAAGAATGTTCAACATCCCTAGCAATCATGAAGTTAAAAACCAAAAATATGCTGAGATTTCATCTCACCCCAGGTAGAAGGGCAGTCATCAAGAATTCAAATAATGATGATTGACAGTGAGGATGTTGGCGGGGGGCAGGAAGGCACATTTACATGTTGTTGGTGGGACTGCAAACTCTGCAACCACCCTGGAAAGCAATATGGAGATTCCTCAAAAGACTAGGAATGGTACCACCATACAACACAGCCATCCCACTCCTTGGTGTTTATCCTGAAGAACTTAAAACAGTAAACACAGTGATACATGCACACCAATGTTTACAGCAGCACAACCCATGATAAACAAGTTACAGAACAACTGAGATGCCCTTCAATAGATGAATAGATGAATGGATAAAGAAAATGTGGTTTATATTTACACAATGGAGTTCTATTCAGCCATGAAGAAGAATGAAATTATGTCATTTGCTGGTGAAGGGATGGAACTGGAGAACATCATGCTGAATGAAATAGGCCAGACTCAGAAAGTCAACGTTCAAATGTTTTTCCTCATATGCAGGAACTAAAGAGAAAAAAGGGATGAAAAAAAGGCGGCTCTTATGAACACAGTAGAGTAGAAGCAAGGGACACAGGAAGTGTGAGGAGGGGAGGGAAAGACAAAGAACTGGGGAATGAAATCTACCAAATTATACTAGGTGCATGTGTGATCATACCATAATGAATTCTAATATTTACATGATTATAATGAAGCAATTTAAATAAATAAATAAACTAATGGAAGACCAGGAGAGCAGAGGAAAGAGATCACGGGGAGGGAGGAGGAGGGGGAGGGGTTAGTGCTGGGGACTGAACTGGAGAAACGATGTTATGTGCATTTGAGGAAATGTCAAAATGTATGCTAATATGTATAGTGCAGTTAAATATAAAATAAAATAATTGAATTGTTTATTTTCTTGGGATTGACTTTCATGAGATCTGAATATATGATGTTTAAAAGTCTTTTTTCAAATATGTGATTTGTAAAAAGTTTCTCTCCATCTTGGATTATCTTTTCGTTCTCTGGTGTCTTTCATGTGGCAAAAGTTTTTGATTTTGAC